GGTGAGGAGAGGCGAGGAGAGGTGAGGAGAGGCGAGGAGAGGTGAGGCGATGAGAGGAGAGGTGAGGAGAGGTAAGGAGAGATATAATGTTATAATAATATTTTATTTTAAAAACTATTGATAGGATAGGGGATAGTAACAGTACTCAAATAAGTAAATAATATTCTATGATTATTGATATTATATTACTATTTATTAAAATAAAAGATAGAGATTTGTTACGAGGTTTGCCGTCTAGATCACGTGGAAGTGCTCTAGGCTCTCGAGGTGGTTTATAACTAGGCGTCAAGCAGGGACTTAAGTAATGACAATGATATAATCCGTAACTAATAGTAGAGTATACTAAATGATTGATCTTGAGCACGAAGCTTTATACAAAGGAAATCCATCTTGATTATATAGACCTTCGTGCCTCCTTAAAAACCGATGCCTATAAGTGTAACGATACTGTACTAAAGGCAGCGGCTGCCTAAGGTTCGTCGGTTGGTAGTTATGGGTTAAGGCTTTATCACTGGTATTCACTTGGAAGTGAAGTCGTTACTAGATCAAGTAGAATGTAGGTAAACTAATTGATAACTAAGTTGAGCACAAAGCTCCTTAACTACGAGATTAAATGAGTGTTTATATACCCTATATCATCTTTTGAGGACCTTTGGGACCCTAAGGTCCAAAAGGTCCTCGAGGTCACGTGAATTATTGAATCGTGACACTCACAAACCCAAACCGAAATATTAATAAACCCCACTCACTCACTCACCTACCCATCTTCCCTACCCCACTTTCCACCACCTATGATAATCCAATCAATACCGCTACCCCACCGCCCCCATTTCTATTTTAACAATATACTAAACTTAGCGAGAGAAGTCATCAAATAAACCAAACCAGAACAAAAATTCAATAGCTTCTGTGGTCCAATGGTTAGGATTCCACCCTTCCAAGGTGGAGGTTCGTGTTCGATTCACGGCAGTTGCAATCTCTTTTTGCTGTTTGTGTTTGATTTTCTTTTTGGGGTGTGTGGTGATTTTTAAGGTTAGATCGTGTTTTTGATTTTGGAATTGAGGGGTTGTGAGTCAGTGAGTTAGTATTGTTTTTCCTTTGGGGAGTCATTGTGTCAGGTTTTCGTATCACGATAATGGATGTATAATATCAACGATAATAAGGTGTCACGAATCACGGTTTAGATTATGGTAGTATTGTAGATGTCGGTGATTTAGCTGCCGAAAACAGGGGGAATGTGAATCAACCGCGGTTTACGGGGGTTCCTTATCGATAAGGAACTTAGGAATCCTAGGACAAGTGTCCTAGGATAAAATGTGTCCCAGAATAATAATAATCCTAGGATAAAATGTGTCCCAGAATAATAATAATCCTAGGATAAACGTTTAGACAATCACAATGATGTAGGGCAAGCATCCTAGGATAGTATTTGTCCTAGGACAATTATTTTAAAAGCTAAATTATCCTAGGAAACGAATCGTCCTCGTATTCAACTTAGTTATCAATTAGTTTATTTACATTCTACTTGATCTGGTAACAACTTCACTTCCAAGTGACCTTTTATCAATTTAAAGATATTTATTTCAAGATTTTTTAATTTTGATATTTAAAAAATTTAATTATTAATTGATGAAGTTCTACAAATTTGAATATCAAATTTTCAGATTTTATTCAATTTACTTGTAACGATACTATACTGGAGGCAGCGGCTGCCTAAGGTTTCGTCTGGTTGGTAGTTGTGGGTTAAGGCTTTATCACTGGTCTTCACTTGGAAGTGAAGTCGTTACTAGATCAAGTAGAATGTAGGTAAACTAATTGATAACTAAGTTGAGCACTAAGCTCCTTAACTACGAGACTAAATGAATGTTTATATACCCTATATCATCTTTTGAGGACCCTTGGGACCCTAAGGTCCAAAAGGTCCTCAAGGACCCTATGGACCCTTCGGTCCTCAAGGTCCTCGAGGTCACGTGAATTAATGAATCGTGACATTACTACAAAAATTGAATCGAAATTCTATATTATCATTTTTAAATTTAAATTTATTTTATTAAAATTTAAAAAAAAATCTATATATTTTTTATTTTTTATTCATTTTGAAATAATTAAATTCTTCAATTTCAATATATTTTATTTATGTTTAAATTATTGAATTTTTTTAAAATGATTAAGTTTTGATGTAAAAAGGTCATTCGGCTAATAGCAGTCAGTGCGTTACGTTAGTATTGTACGACCTTTTCACTTTCTTAGTATCTGACAAGTTTTAAATATTTGAGCATGATTTACTCATTTTGATGGTCTGGATTATCCTTTCTGATTTCAACATGTTCAGTATATAAGAAGTTTAATTCTTTGAATGTAATTTGAACGTTATACTCAGAAATTTGAAGTTTCTTCCTCGCTATTGGATACTGTAAAGACGAACATTCCATCTCTATCCTTATAGTTACTTCTCAAGTCAATAATGCTTTTGTTATTCAGGAGAATAATCTATTTTTATAGTATTTCTTAGTTCAATAGTGCTCCGTGCAGCAATCTAGATAGTTTGACATTTTCTAACATCTTTCGATATTTGAAACTGGATCTAGACAATCGAGTTATTTTAGGTAGAGGTTATACACTATCTATTCTTCAATATCTATTGGGTTTATTGAGACTAGAAAGAGCATCAGATTGAATTGATTGATTCTCTAGCTAAGCAGTTAAGCTGCGAGTATATATTCAAAAAATGAAGGAATAGGGTTAGGTATTCGGCCTTCGGAATTAAAGTGCTTTGAAATCAAAATATTGAAAGCAAACAAACAGTATACCAAAAAGGAAAGAATGAATTAAAAGTTGAGTTTTGTTTGCTCCTTATATGCATCATGCAATATATATGCATATGCTGTCAAGATCCCAGGAGGTCAACAATATCCGAACCCACAATCATACAATCGCATGCCTGCTTCGAACTCTTGAGTTCAAAGGATACTTCTGATCATGATGAGACCTCACATCCCTCTTTAATATTTGGATCTCTAGAATTGGATAAGCAAAATTGCTTGAAGCAATTTGCTTCCATACTCAGAGATCTCACAGAGTCATATTATTCTTTGATATCTATATTTGAATTTCACAATTTGATATCATCTGAGCTCGAGGTTTATGCCCTACCATAGATTCATTATCGGAATCTGGGTTTGAACTTGGAAGTCAAATGGTGTTTTAGGGTTCAGGACCTTATATCATTTTCCAGGACTTCATGTTATCCTTCAATGTTTGAATCTGGATTTGGATGATGGGAATACTTCTTAGACTTGGAGCTTTAAAATACTCTTCGAGAGTATGAATATCGATGCGGATAATAGAGAACCGGCTCAGATCTAGAAGTGTTATTTCCCCCTCCAATGTTTGAACTTGGATTAGAAATCTAATAACCTCTTGAGGGATTAATATGTCAAAGTCTCATGTAGTCCTTCAATGTAAAATTAATCTGATAATGAATAGGCTATTCTGGCAGTGCGGACTGCAATTTATTCATTCTATAATCGATACTAAGTACACCCTCCCTTCATCTCAACATAAGTATTCTTCTACCGTAAAACTATGGTCCCAACTGTTCCCTAAAGAAACGAGCTAGGTACCTTTTTTCCTCTCTACACAATGATGACAAACCCCCTACCCCAACCCCACTAAACTCACTAACAGGTCCAAAGTAATCATCCACCTCACCAGCACGTCTAAAGCCAGCACTCCATAAGTTAAAATCCTCATTCAGAAATCGACGAGACACTTCCACGATTTGGCGTTTCACCAATGTGATTGGAGCTCCGAACTTGAGTCCGATAATCTTGATCTTCAACAGTGCATCAACCTCTGTCTCCACCACAACCTCAATACGACATTCTTGATTTTTGGTACTGTTGACACTGTCCAACCGCATCAAGAACATCGATATCCTGTGATCGCCAATGTTCAATTCTCTTTCGTGATTTTCCTTATACATAATGTCGTGCTCAGATAAGTATAATGCAAGGTTTGCTGCAAGTGTGGTTGCTGCGGCGCCAATACTTGGGTCATCCGGAAGGGGGGCCACAACTTTTGCGTGTACTTCATAAAGATCGTATAGCAGCTCATTGTTCTTTTCATTGTTTGTTCTTTCTTCACACAATCGTGGTGAAATATAGAAGAATATTGTACCAGCTTTGTATCCTTTAAAACGATTTTCGTCATCATTATTGGCTGAAAATTCTTGCTCTACCAAAGCGTCTGGCATTCCACTAGTTATGTGGTTGAAATTGTGGATTGTATACAGATTTATGAGAGTGAATCCAATACCTCCAACTTGATAGACAAAAACAGGATTCCTGGAAATATCTTTCCTTAACTCGTCCGCGAAGTTGGAATCGATTATCGTCGAATTTGAAAGATGCACTCTCCTATATCCCATCGTCCTATCTTTGAACGGCGTGTCGGATCTTGCTCGATATGGTATTATTTCGAACCAATCATCTACCCGACGCTTTTCTAGTTGTACATAATGCTGTTGAGGATAATTTATAAACACAAAATCTTTAGCACCACCTAGAAATTTCCGAGTATGTTTACCCATTTTTTGTACCTTGTCGTCTGCTTCTGCCTTGTTGAAAAGATAATTCAGTGCAAGAACAACCTGTGATGTCTCGAATGGTTCCGAATTTGTTTCGGCATCATCTTTGCAGCGATTTTCAATAAAGAAGTCAGACATCCCCTCACCATTCGCATATAAAATAACAGCTGGACAATCGTAGCGTTCGACGAGCAATTTTCTCTCAAGATGTAAAAGGAATTCAGCTTTACCTACATCGAGAGCAATCATTGCAATTCGGCAACCCTTTCCAGGAGTTCGAGTGAAGACGTCAACGACGGAGAAATCGAACTTAGTTTTCCTGTTTTGAATTAGCCTCTTCAAAAAAGATTCATGGCACTACTTTACATACGCGGGTAAAATCTTGGACGATAATTGACGATCAACTGTACCATCGCTCAAATCACCATCATCACTATCACTGATATCTGGGGTTAGAGCCCGAGTACTATCGCTCTTAGAGGACTGCAAAGACATGCCTAATTAATTGTTGGATTGTTGTAATACTTTGTAAGTTGCACTGGAGCAATAGTTCTTCGGATATCGATCAACTGGCTAATATAGGGAATGAGCAGCTAGGGAAAGAGCAGTCCGAAACCATGGGAAGGTACGAATACATACGGATAGGATAGATTATGTATAGGGAAAGAGCTGTTCTACAGTATGGAAAGAAGCGATTAAGTACAGACATATACGCATATTGGAAAAGAGTAGTCGAATATTATCACACCTTTCAATGTTATATTTCACGCTTGACAATTAAATGTCCTCGCAGGTTTGTGTAACCAAAGTTTGAGAAGGAAGAAGTATGAACTAGTGTGCGGTTAATTTAGCCTACTGTGTACATAATTGGTAGAAATCATTGATGGTTTTCGATTAAGCTCATCGGTTGATTTATGGCTTCATAGAATTTTGTCCAAACTTCCAGAATGCTAATTAATTCGACTCCAATTCCGTTAGACTATCATGTGATCAACCTCATAAAAGGAGCTGTTGAACTAGCGAGTTCTAAACCCTTCTTATTGTACATAAATAGTCCCCATATCTCATAATGTAGAAGGCAAGAATGAATAACACAATACTATAATGGTACTATACAAATAGTATCACCGAAGTGATACCAACAAATTCTTTCCATGTAAATGCTGTAATCTCTCTCTTTAGATTCTCTTTGGATTCTCTTTAGCAAGTCAGCAAGTCTTCAATTTTACGAAGAATTAATTTAATAATAACATTATTATGCTATAAATTTGCAAGAAATACAGGCAGCCACCACTCCCTTGCGGCTCATTGTAGGAGTCATCATCGGACGTGGCTGACTGCTTCTAGATACTTTCTAGGCCGCTGTGGTTATACACGCAAAAAGTCACTTGATTTCAGCATCACCGCGCCAAAAATTAAGATACTTGTAAGTTATCAAGAGATATTGTATTGAAGAAGCAGAGCATGTCTTAGCTTCTAGTCTCTGGAATTCCGAGATGGATAATGAGCATGACAACTTGTGCTATACTTATTTCTTTGAGCGGAAAACTGATCAATGCTATTCTCATAAATTTGAAATACGTTCAGAGCTGTGTTCGTGTCTCGTAGGTGTCTACTTGTACCCATCAAGTAAGAGAATCATAAGCTATTGTAAAATCGGTCTTGGAAGAGATAAGTACTGACCTAAAAGAAATGATACTTACGAGCGTCGGACGAATTAAGTCAGACAAAAATAAAACAATGGCATTATCCTCCTAATTATGAAATTTGCTTCAGTCAGATTTCAATTGAGAGTTTCTCTTTCATCAAGAAGTGAGCTTTCACGGGAAAATTAGACAACTTACTTTGCCACAACCTTTGTGCAACCTGGAGGAAGTCTTTTACTGCTCAAGGGATTCTTTACGGAAATGCAGTGTCAAGTATAGAATCTCGATCACACGGTGTAACGTGAATATGGCAAACTTTATGCCGGTAGATGTAATTGAGATTGTAACAGGTTGTACGAAGGATGGGGATAAAGATAGAAAGAACGGATGGTTACTCTTGTAAGTTACATTCTTCCCGGAAGTTACATAAGCATAATAAGCCGATAATAGACATCATCTAGATGGAGTAAGACTTACATCAAGCCATCATGAGCATTGTATTCCCTACTCATCTGATGTGGATTGAGATGGAGGAGGTAAAATACAAAACAAAGATATTGGGAAGGTAGTCAGAAGCTTAAAATTAAGAATAGATGAGGAAGAAGTATGGATTATAAATCTCTATAGTTTAGAACTAATCAAGAGGGAAGCATCCTCCATCTATCTAGTCAGCAAATGATTCTCGGAATCCCTGATGTGCGGAGACAATACTTTGCTGAGCGTAAGATTCTCATGTGGACGTGTTTCGAGAAGAGAATTTTTCTAATGATTATTTTATGCGGAAAAGTAAATTAGCAGCAAAATCTCAATCCTTCGCGGCTGAGTCGTCGTGTAGGAAAGTTCAACAGGTTTAAAAGGGTTTAGCTTCAGGGGGAGTCCTGAGTCATTATGTAAGCATGATGCCCCCAAACTGAATCATGAATCATGCGTGGGGTAAACTTCTGCACTCCCCCAGCATCTACATTGACTGTGTAAACACAAGCATTGAATGCGACGGTTGTGTAACGAGCTCCATTGTTCCTCAAGATGCTGCAGGTCACATTTTCTTTTCGAATTCTGGATGTATCTGGAAGGCGATATGGGGTCTACTCAGGAGCTCCACCGCTACCCGAGTCCTTAATTTCAAACCGAGGACAGGTACCTGGCAACGTTACAACAGGCTTCTACCTTTGTCGATGCTGACTCTCAATCAGGATTTTACTTCCTCCATGTGCTACTAGAATGACATGCACATTATTGGTACTTTGATCTAGACGACCCGGCTGCTGGTTCTTCATGCAGGTCATGGCCATGATCGTGCTGTAATGCTACACACATTTACGAGCTCCGATGCTGCAAGTTGGCAATTCTACGCCGTGTAATTAGTCACCTACCTACTGAAATTTCTAGATTTAATATCGCTATCAATGCCCAATGGAATATACTGCGGAGTCGTCACTGCACAGAGTGAAACGCTCTACATTTTTAGAGCATCATATTAGGATTATATGCCACCAAGGGTTTTCCTCCTCCATATCACCTTGGAGTAATCCACCCGTTAATCAAAAAAAGAGAACGTCGTCTAATCCTGAGTTATTTGTAGCCAAAATGTTTGCGGGGAAAATATCAGCCGCAGTATTTGTCGTGCCTCGATATACGCACTGAGCAAGTGTCATACACGAGCAAAAAAGAAACACAAGAATGCATAATGATTAATACCAATATTTTATAGCAGACACTGGCCTTTCTCTCTCAATACCAGGTCAACACATTTCTCAAGATTGTACGAAAGTATGGGATTCAGGGCTGACAAAGTTTTGCTGACGAAATCTTGGCCCCTAAGTTCCACTGAGTCCTCAAATGACAAACGAACGTTCATCCTTCGGGAGCATCAAATCTCCCGATTCCAGGACACATTGTTTATTGTCCAATAGCATTACAACTTGAGAGCCTAAGTATAATAGAAAATCTTTTCATCAGGAAGCCGCATCACTTTTATAATCAACTACCCGATTGACATATCTACTATGAAGGAATCTTGGGCTTGTAACTTGTGACTGGGGTCGCTTGACACATAGGATTTGAACTTCATCTCATATTTGATCCCACTGCAACGAGAACCTGCTCTAGGAAGGCGTAATTCATCATGATCTATTCATGGCTAATGAAATGCTTGGAAACGGGAGCCTTTTGATGTTATTCAGATGTAAACTCAACTGATCTGTCTCGAGATGAAATGGATATAAGTATGCTCTCCCGGCTTGTAAACTGAAGCATCATCAACAACTACTCACATTCATTTCCCAACCACATTCATTTTTTTCATATTCGGGTTTTTTATCCCATTACTCTCCTTCATAACTTCCTAACTTCATTTGGAATTTAAGTTCGTTACTTTTTTTCTCTACTTCATTTCATCATGTACTCAACAAGAAGTCTCATCGGGTTTGCAAGCATGCTTGCATCCCTTCCATCTGCCTTTGCTGGTTTCAGCACAACTGCTACAGACAATGTCGCTATCTACTGGGGCCAGGGTGCCAACCAAGGCACGCTCGCATCATACTGCTCAAGTAAGATATTTCCTTAGTCTATAATATTGAAGAAAAGTAAAGAAAGTACTAACAAATCTTAAAAGATACCGACTTTAACATCATTCCCATCGCTTTCTTGGTCTCCATCAACAAGCTGACTGTCAATGTTGGAAACGCTGATCCCACCCAAGTCGGAAAGGATATCGTCACTTGCCAGGGCATGGGTAAAACCATTCTCCTCTCTATAGGAGGAGCCACCTATAGCGATAGTGAACTCAAAACATCTGATGAAGCCACTACTGCCGCCAAGAATGTCTGGGCTGCTTTCGGTCCCAAGACTTCATCCTCTACCACTAGACCATTCGGTGATGCTGTCGTCGATGGTTTCGATTTTGATATCGAAACCGTAGGTCTTGCTAACTTGGAAGTCTTTGCTCAAGAGCTCCGCTCTCTTTCTGATGCTGAGACCAGCAAAAAATACTATTTGACTGCCGCACCACAGTGCCCTTACCCTGACCAAGCCGATAAGTCCTTCCTTCAAGGTGAAGTCTCCTTTGACGCTGTCTTCGTTCAGTTCTACAACAACAACTGTGGTCTTAACAAATTTGTCAAGGGAAGCAGTACTCAAAGCGTTTTCAACATGGACACCTGGGATAAATGGGCTTCAGGAACCTCCAAAAACAGGAATGTTAAGGTTTTCGTTGGTATCCCAGGTAGCAGTACCGCTGCCACTGTTGGATACGTTGACCAGGACACCATGACCGATGTGATCAAGTACTCCAAGACATTCAAGAGCTTTGGCGGTGTCATGGCTTGGGATATGGTTACTTTGATCGGCAACTCTGGTTACCTCGCCAACATCAACAAGGCACTTGGAGGTACCCCTGCTTCAGGATCTGTCGCTGCAACTACATCCAAGGCCACTGTCACCACTGCCAAAGCCTCCAGCACTGCTGTCGGATCTACTCTCACCACCAAAGTCAGATCTACCATCACCTCCACCAAGGCCATTGCTACTGCTACCGCTACCAGGGCTGCTGATGGCCAAAGCAGCGTTAAATCTGCCTCCGCCTCCGCCTCCGCTACTCTCATTTCCTCCTCAGGAACTGTCCCAAAGTGGAGCCAATGTGGTGGTGAAGGATACACCGGATCAACTGAATGTGAATCCGGATCCAAGTGTGTTAAGACCGATGATTGGTGGTCTGCCTGCCAGTAAAAAATTTTCTCTTACGAAGATTGAAACTTTGTCGATGAGCATGACTAATTAGACAACTATCGGCAAACGCATATTTCATACTTATCCCTTTCCTTATACTTTTGATGGAACGACCAGGCAATGGTATGGTAAAAAGGCATGGAAATATCTGGACTTGTTTGGCATTTGAAGCGCAGGATGTGCTACTTGGATTGTTTTGTTTTGTTTTGTTTCGTTTGCTTGGAATTTGGAATTTTTTGTTGATTTCTAGTGAAACTTTTTACTTTTCTGGATTTTTTTTCCCTGGGAAAATTGATGAGTAGTTGGTTGTTTGGATTGTTTGGATTTGTTGTATTATTATTCTACTTAAACTATAGCATGGTCGCATTTTGGTCGACTAAGTAACTGAAATATGTCCCTATGAATACCACGTATTTTTTGAACATTGTTGCAGAGAATTTCATTGCCGTGAACGTGATTAACTATTCAGTCTCATGCGATGAGTAGAATTAGTGTGTGGAATGGAGCTACGCTTTCTGGTGTCTTCTACATTACTGTCAGCATCACAGCCTTCGTACTGTGTAGTCCTTGGCATGGAGAAACCATGCTTGAGACCACATTGTCAGGGCATTATTTTAAATTTTGCCAGTTCTCTATTCCGATCGGCGCGATCATTATGCTGGTGGAACTGGTATTGTTTCATTCTTCCAATTCCGGCTCTTTTAGCTTTGCAGATGTCTACTGCAAAGAAGATTGGCGTGTTGATCATCATTATGGCAGGATACCTGTGAGTACTCTGCTGAATCAAGCACAGAATACCAAAAAAAGCACTGACTTGGTGTTTAGAACTGCCATTGCCCCTATGATAAACCTGCATCAAACTTCAGAATGATTCCAGGCACCCGACTTGGAAAGTCGGCTGCGTCTTGCTCTGGACGTATGGTGTTCATCATTCAATCAGATTATCAGAAGGCTGACCGGACACAGACAAATTGAGCCTTTTGCCGGTGTCGCCGCCTCTAGCATGTGTACTTTCCATCAATTTTTCAGCCATTGGAGTTTCTCTCTTGCATCCTGGAAATCATCACTCAAGTCCAGCCTCATACATCTGCTCGTCAGAAATAAGCGAGAAAAGCTCTCAGGTGATCACCAGCCCGGATTCACAGCTTGGCCCGGCGATGATGAAAAAGGACTCAGAATGAATGAACTGAACCTGAACTGCCTATGACCGAGCGAAGCTTGAGAACCCTAGAGTTGCAGATCCAGAATCTCAAATTCGCCTAACACATTTTATTACTATCATCCGAGAGTAACTGCCCTAGCGCCGTGCTGATTGTATGTCTGGGAAGTTTCAGCCATACTGGACGTAGTATAAGTGATGCCCTGTTGTATTTCTTTTACCGAATTTGGTGGTTATGTGAATGGTCAATTTGATACGACCATAAGATGAGATGCAAAACAAACAGCCTAGGATAAAATGCAGACACGACGTCTAAGAAACCGGGAATCATAGATTTTTGTCTGCATTCATTAGTTATATTGTAATTTAAGAATGAATCGAGCAGACTTCCCCGAGTACTAAATAACTAGACTGTGGGCGATACTTGGTGAGCCTTTTTGTTGCATATTAGTATTTTTTTCTGCGCCGCATGCATGAGACTTTGAAGTTCAGATTCTCCACATTTCTCCAGGAAGCGGGGGTTGAATGTCAAATGAAATACGGTGGCTTCGCGTAAGCGGCGGCTGCGCCGCTTGTTTTGATAAACCGTGGAATTCCTATTTGGTAAGCTGCGTGGTATTGTACAGTAGTAATGCGGCGAGGCTGTTACAAAACCAACCACAACCCTGCCTCCTTGTGAGCCGGCTAGGGATAGTTGTGTTAAAAATCAATTTCTTTTTTTGAAAATAATTGCGAAGCCGTTGATCTCAAAATTTCCAGGAAACGACAATCCGGACCGTAAGCATGGTCTTTCAAGTACCCGTTGCACTTGCTGTGACATTTCTTGTAATAGCATTTTCTATATTCACTATGCGTCTTCTGCGGAGCTCACCCAAAAGTCTCGCGCAGCCTGACTTACCAGAGCCTACAGCGATCAGTAAAAAGCTCTCAGAGGCATTACCCAACAGCGTCTTTCTCCCACGCGACGCTACGGCTTTCAGTCAGTCGATGAGTTCTTACTGGGCTAAACAAGAGTGCGAAGTAACTCCAGCATGTGTAGTTCGCCCTTGCAATGATCAGGAACTCTCTACTGCTATCAAAATACTCAAACACGCCTACCATGAGCACACTAAAGCATCTGCTTCTGGAGAACCAGACGGTGAACATCTATTTGCTATTCGAAGTGGTGGCCACTCTTGTGTTGCTAACGCTGCAACTGTCAAGGGAGGTGTCCTGATTGACCTAAAGTCCTTCAATGAAGTCACACCTTTGGATGACCATGATGAATCATGTGTAGTTATTGGAGCTGGCTGCAGATGGATGGATGTTTCAAAGGTTCTGGATGAAATAGGCCTTGCTGTTGTAGGAGGCAGAAACTCTGCCGTAGGTGTTGGAGGATTGACTCTGGGAGGTGAGCTCTTAAGTTTTTATGTAACTTTATCCTTCCGATGGCAGAATTTACAATGATATTGAAAATAACACTGTATTATATGACCACTTTTTTTCTTACACCGAGGCTAACAAGACAATGGAATAGGTGGTCTTTCATTCTTCTGCCCACAGTTCGGGTTAGTGTGCTCCAACGTCATTAGCTACGATATTCTTCTTGCCTCGGGATCAATTATTACAGCTTCCGCTACGAACAATAGCGATCTTTGGCGTGCCCTAAAAGGCGGCTCAAACAATTTCGGCATTGTTACGCGGTTCAAAGTCCGTAGCTTTCCCTCCGCTAAAATATGGAGCGGATTTCTCTACATGCATAGTTCACAAGCTGCCAAAGTAATTGCCGCATTTAACGAAGTTGTCGGTCGAATAGACTCCGATGAGCATGCTGCTGGCCCTATAGCCTGTTTTACTTATGTTCAACCCCTGGGCTTGCAAGCTATTTCGGTAAATCTCGTCCACACAAAGCCGCCCGAAAAGAAATGGCCAGCCTGCTGGGATAAATCTTCTTTCAAATCGCTCTTTCGCCTTTGGAGCACTTGTAAAATTCGCACTTTGACAAGCGCCACTGATGAAATGAATGCTCTTAACCCCCCTGGTAGGCGTCAAATCCTCGCTAGTACCACTATCAAGAACGACGTCACAACTTTAGTCTCCATCCATGCCGTGTACCAAAATGCTATTGATTCACTCCGGTCCGTTAAAGGTCTGTCATGGACTCTCGTGTTACAGCCTCTTCTACCAGTTTGGTTACATAAAGGCGACACGAATCCGCTGGGTTTACACGATGTCAATGAACCTCTCGTCCTTGTCAGCTTTACTGTGAATTGGCAGAGAGACGAGGATGATAAGAAACTTCATGCTGCTACCCGTCGCTCGATTGAAGAAATTGAGAGAATTGCATTAGAAAATGGAACCAGCCATCAGTGGCGATATCTAAACTACTGTGCCAGCTGGCAGAAACCTTTTGAAAGTTATGGCGAGGAGAATTTACGGTTTCTGCGGGAGGTTAGTAGGATCTATGATCCTGAAGGCTTATTTCAGAAGGGGTGTGTTGGTGGATTCAAGCTTGACATGTGAATTTCGATAACTTATGTGGTTGAATTATCTTTCTTTCTTTCTAATTTTTTTTATTTTTTGAGAATTGTGATACCTGTGGTGCACAATTCTCTTGTTCGAATAATTTTATGGCGTGGAGACGTTGGGAAATCGCTCTCTCTTCTGTTTCTCGTGATCCATTCCCGCTTTGTGTTTCGGAAACTCCATGGTCGACTCCTATATTTTTTGAACAGTGGACCAGAAGCCTATGTGGTCGTCAATGGAATTGCAAAGAAGCAGTGCCGAGGGAGTTTTCAGAATATTCACCCGAGATATTTCTGCATCAAAATGGAAATGCGGAGTAGCCGAGTATCCAAATACGAGAGATCCCTAATACGGCTTAAAACGACCTAAGCACTTGCAAGATTCAAAGAGATTTTCGGAAGATATTCTGGTCCTCCGATATAACAATTGAGCTGTTACAAAGTGATGAAACACGAGACGAGTATGAAAAGGTGACGGTGAAGGAAAGTCATTATTTATCTCATGGTGCCTGGTAAGTTGCGGTAAGCGAAGCACCCTACAGTACTGTGTGACCAAAAGGGTGTTTATAGACCAGCAATTGTATTTAACTTAGAATCTACAGGTGAAGAGCACCTGTAGATGGGGATAGCTACTCTATATATACACAAATGAATGGCCTAGCCGCAATGGCTAGGCAAAAAGAAGTCATATTTATCCCTCCAATGATCTTACTTTACCGATAATCATTGATACCTAGTACTTGTCCGGATCTGATCCTCAGGTCACCTAAATCGTATACTAATCCCGAGTAATCGTATCATGTGTGGACATGGTTAATGTACCTGAGGTTTCTTATATAATAAAGGTGGGAGGAAAGCAGGGGTTTCCGTCACAAATAGTATAATATTAAAATTTTAATAACGTGGTTTATCAGTGGGTCGTACACTTTTTCCTCGATTTATCACTTTAAAACCATATTATTCAATAACAATTGGATGAATCGATTGAAACTATTAAGAATCTAATAAACTAGCATCTATTGCATTATTTTGACAGGTTCTTGAATTATGACCAGTCTTTCCACACTTACTACAGCATCGACTAGTAGATGATTCCCTATTAGAATTTCCCCCATTTTGACGCTCGTCGCGTTGAATCTGATTATCAACCTCTTGTTGTAATAATATATCTTCAGCTTCTTATCCAGTAAGTACTCCTCCATTACGTAGTTCAATTTTTTAGCGCGTCGACGTTTACTTAATGCCTCATTTGCTCTTTCGAAGCATACGATTCTCAGCACTCAAAAGTGTAACTTCATATGCTAGTCTCTCTGTACCTTTAGCTAAAGCTTGCACAGTCTCAAATATAGGTATAGAAGAGCTTGATTGATGACGAGCCATTCGAGCTTTTACTAGAGTTGATTGTAAAAGAGCCTCAGTTGGATTGTGAGGGGTTTGAGAGATCCAGAAGTTGGTAAGTTCCAAGGAGGTAGATGGAGGGGTAGAAGTACGAATCCTAATATCTAGTTTTGAGAGTATAGATTGAGGATCAAATGGTATTAGACCTGCTTCTCGAAAACCAGCTTTTATATTCTGAATAGTAATCGATTGTTGATATGCAGCTTTGAAAGCTATAAAGAATTCAACCTTAGAGATATGATTGATATGAGCCTTGATAAATCCTTCAATTTGATAACTATATGAACGTTTGAGTACGCTAAAACATCCAATATCAAGTGGTTGAGTTAAGTGACTTGAATGCAGTGGTAACTTTATGTATATAATATCGTTTGATTTGCAATATGACTGGAAAGGTATCGATTCGTGACTTTCATGCTCATCCAATACTAGCATTCGATATTTGCCCTTTCTCCATTGACTAATATGCTTATCGAAATGCTTTAACCATTCTAAACCTATCTCATTATTCGTTTATTTATTAAAAGTAGGTTTAATAGCTTAATCTGTAGGAAAATCACTCTCTGTATACCAATTAGAAAGGTGATATTGTCCTTGCACCACTAAAAATGGTGGTATAGTTTCACCCTCTCCATTACCACATATAATCGCTATAGCCCACTCTCGATTGCCTGGTTGTATTGCCTTGCTTCTGCCACTTCGTTCAGCACTAGTTACAACTATTCCGGGGCATATTATACCCATGATAAAGCCTGTTTCGTCGAAGTTGTAGAAATCGCAATCCTGAATCCCGTATTTCGCCTGCATATTCGATACCAATCGAAACTACTCTTCAATAAGCTCTGGATCTTCGCAAAGAGCTCTTTGAAAGTCATAAACACGATTAAAACGCATCTTTAATTCTGAACATCGTTTTACAAAGCGATGAGCCCAGAGCTTTCCAACCTTCTTCGCACCCCGTGTTTCGAGCATATAATTCGCCATATCTTCCACACTATTTAATTTAGGGGCAAATCCTCTATCATCCATATCAATAATATATTGAATAAGCACCTCCTCTTCTAATTCAGTCAAATTATGACTTTTTGGTCGACTTTCAGCCATATTACTACGACCTTGAATTCTGTCGAATAATGTAGATCGAGGCACACTATAGTAATTAGCAGCCTTTCGAATCGTCAATCTTTTGTTCAATTCGATAGCCTCAATGGCCAGGATTATTCGTGCTTCTTTTGAATGAATTTCCATTAATAACTATTGAATAAACGCGTATTGAAGTGAGAGAGTAAAGGATATTGAAAAAGTGTCCGACCCACTGATAAACCACGTTATATTTTTAATATATATTATTAATAATATAAATTATTGGAATGATTGAATTTTGGTGCAAGATGAGCATTAGGGTAATATAAGTGCACGGTTACTGTAGTGGCCGCCAGCTAATAAACACGATTTTAACATGCCCGCATGATGTATGGACTTGCCATACTATCAATAAAATGTAAATAAGCTGCACTCAGTGCTGTAAAGTACTTCAGATATATAGATTCAGATAGGAGAACGAATCAATCATGAAATTTCACCAATTTTCCTCCAATACGTATGAACTAAATTATTAGATTTGCTAAAGTAAGAAAGAGCCGCTTAAATTAAATGTGTCTGCACCCGTACAAACACAATCTAAGAATCTAAGACTACAATTGCGTCCTTAGATTCTGCCAAGGGTTTAGACCGAAGACTTGCTTGCGATATAATTGAAACGAACACTGAGAGCCATACTTCTTCCCTAATCTGTCGTAACAATAGTGAACGATTGACTAGCCTTATCATCACTACAAGTAGTAGAATCCAATTTCCCAGCAGCGTTAGCCGCAAGACAAGTTGAATTATTCCCATTTACAGGGGCAAGTAAAATGTTTGTTTGGCCTTTTTCGATAAAAGGGAAAAGTTGTGAGTTTGTTACTAGACCATCTATTCGAAATCTCAGTGCATGCTTTTTTGAAGGATATGAATAGTCGCGGAAATACATACCGCCATCAGCTCTTCCTCCACAAGAGAACATAATAACTGTGTCGCCAGCAGGTCTTCTCGGGTCAAAGTTAAGACATCCTTGAGTCTATTTAGAATCATTAGCATTTCCCGAAGACTTTTCGTTCCGGAAAGAACTACTCACTAAGCTGCTAACCACAAGCACTGAATTAGCAACATTGTTATGCTTCCCACTTGTAACGATGTCCCATGCTTGATATTGGCTTCCATCACATGCTTGTAGAGTAATTGGAATCAGGTTCTGTCTAAAGTCACCTGCAGTTGGATCAACGAATAGACATTGTCCAGATGCATCTTTCAACGCGGCAGACGAGAAGGCTTTTACAGCAGTATTGTCTAGTGCATTAGCTTCTGCAGCGGCTGAAGGATCAAGCACACCTCCGGCACGGGTCACTGGGAGAGGAGCCGTTGGGTCGCCTGTGGGAACAGTGGCGGTAGCCGCGGTGACAGCTATTGAACTAGGAGAAGATAACGAAGAGATAGCTGCTGGAGTTACTAAGGCTGTTGAAGCTGGAATGGCTGCTGCATCTGAAGCTGCTGAAGCAATAGAGCTGGCGGCTGCCGGGGTTACTAAGGCTGTCGAAGCTGGAATTCCTGCTACATCTGAAGCTGCTGGAGCAACAGAGCTGGCGGCTGCTGCATCAGCGGAAGTGTTTGAAGCGCCAAAAGTAAATGTTTGGCTAAAATCACTTTCATCACAAGGCGCTTCATCGAGAACGTTTGCGGTCGTAGCAGATAAACAGGTACCTGGTGCGTTCCCGGGGGAAAGAGTGAGTGGGCCAGAAGTTCCATTAAAAGGGAATAGTTGGGAGTTTGTGACAAGTCCATCTTACTGGGTCAGCGACGACGCCTTGATTGAAGTTGATGATACATACCTCCATCAGCCCGACCACCGCACGAAAACATGATGACAGTATTACCTGCCGCACGACGAGGATCAAAATTCAAGCAAGCCTGAGTCTTAAAAGTCATCAGTCTACGAGAATGAAGGAACAAATGCCAGATTTTGCTCACCAATGTATTTACAACCAACATGCTACCTGCCACATCATTGTGCTTCCCACTCGTAAGGACATCCCAAAGCTGCCCGTTACTGCCATCACAGGCAGCCACCTGGACGGGTGTCAAGTTTGCTCTGAAGTCCCCGGATAGTTCATCTACAAAAAGGCACTGCCCAGATGATGTCTAGATTTATTTAGCACCAAGGTATATGAATCCTGGATAAAACGGCAGAACATACTGTAATAGGAACGGACGAGAAAGCCCTCGTTGCAGTTTCATCCCGTTGTTGGGCTTCTTCGAAAGCAGTTTGATCAAGAGAAGTGACAACTCTTTTGCGAAAAGTAGGAGAGGAGAAACCAAGCGTTGCGAGCAGTAACAGTGAAAAGAAGAGAAACATGATCTACAGCTTGGTAGCAACAAAGTGAAAAGGATTGATGGTAAGGAGCAAAAGGTATCTCGGACACTTGTTTAAGGAATGGAAAACTGCCCAGCAGTTGGAAGGAGGAAAATGCAACGAGAGAATAGAGTAACAAACAGAAATGAAAATGATCGTAAAGACCTAGACACGAATGCAATTGAAGTGCTAATGTGCAAGAAAGTAGAAAGAAAGCTTTATATCAACCTCAAATACCTGAGTAACCATAGTGCCAGTAGTCCTCGAAACACATACCGTTAAAGGTCACAACATATGCATACCCCAAAAGCAAGAGCGTTGCTGATCAGAAAAATTACCAAATGATCCTCTAAAGCTCATCTCCAACCCAAATAAGAAAAACTTTTACTCCAATAGAGCAGATATGCAAGGAATGAAACCCCACGCGTCGCAAATGTCGTTTCTGTGTAGCCATGTTATTGGGCGGCTAGAGGCCGGGTCTCGGGTCATTTGTCGGGTCTGGACTGGTTGATCTGATTAAGTGGCAAAAGAGAGTTTCATCCGATCCTTGTTTTGAGTTTAATTTTCGGACGATTTTCACATTAATGATAATGGGTGGGATTTGTCCCGGTTGATTTCAATGGAAGATCTTGACACACGCCCCCAATTTCAGATGACCATTGAAACGAGCTTGGCGACCCTGGCATCAGATCCTGCACGTCAAATCAGCTCCTAGGATGTCTACCCCAAGGATATTAATTGGTTCGTCGATTCCTATGAAAGATCTGCCGGCAGAAGGATATATTGGCAGTACGATGTCTTATGATAGCACCCAAAACTTTGGTTAGCATCAAGATTGATTGGATTAGTCCTGTATGATTGACCTAGATTTCACGAAATTCAAAAGCTCGGCAGAAAGAACCATGCACACAAAATTAAAAGAATCGTTGGGCATCGTAAATTGTCTTTCATAATTCATGACGACTTGGTATTTTACATTTCCCGGCGTTTTTAATGCATTATATCTAATCTTCATCCCAGTTCTATTCCAGTTAGTGAAGGGTACTCGTTCATGGAAAGATTGTGAACTTACAGGATTTGGTCCTGGAGGTTTTGGACCACCAGCTTGTCTTGCAACAATAATTTGATCGACAGAAAGCACAGTTCTTGCCGCCTCGGTAGCGAGCTTGATAGCCCAACTCTTTGCGATCATAAGATCTAAAATACCCTCCTTCTTTGCGTCAAGAGTGCCGGTATCGTCCTCGTTCTACTCAAATGTTAGTATACCTTTTGCGAAGTGGCATTAATCGGGCTTACCTCAATATCAACACCGGTGTTCCAGTTATCGTGCTTGTGATGAGCAGTGTAAAGCCTGCTGAGAGTTTCCGTAGCGTCTAAACCAGCACTTTCTGCTATAGTTCTTGGAATAACTTCGAAGGCCTCGCCAAATTTTCGAATAGAGTATTGAGCCAAACCAGGAGTCTTGTCACCAAACGCTTGTATCCGCTCAACCAGCTGAATTTCTGTAGCTCCGGCACCTGGTACGAGTCTGGCATCTCTGGTAATAGCCTTAACGACATTGACACCGTCATCAACAGCACGCTCGACATCATCAAGATGGTTCATTGTTGCTCCTCGGAGAACCAAGGTGGCGGTTTTTGTAGTTTCGTTCTCTTGTCTGAAAACTGTGACTCTGTCTCCACCAATCTCAAGGGTCTCCACAATATCAACACTTCCCATCTCATCAGGCATTGGTGCTCCCAACCTAGCTAGTGGAGTAGCACCGACGACTCTACATAATCTTCTAAGTTCGAATTTGCTCAGGATACGGATTACCAAGATACCAAAGCGGTTGAGGTAATGCATTGCAAGTTCACCTACGGTAGAACCAGCAACTACGACTCGTAAACCAGAATCATAAAGTTCCTTGATAGCAGTCTCCAACTGATTCTCTTCTCCCTTTGTGAAATCCAGCATTTCCTTTGCATTGTGTAATAAAACGGTACCCTTCGTTTCGGTTTGACTGATGTCGATTGGGCATGAGAATACACCAACCTTGGCTCTGCTAGCCTTCTTGACCGATCCATCTGGCTCACGGCCGAAAACCATACCCTTAACCACCCTGCTTTGTTCTAAACTTCCTCCCATAATCTTAACAACTCGGATATTATCAACGTTGAAGTTGATTGGGTTCTTTGGGAGAACGGCTAAAACTGCCTCGGCGACCATATTTGCTAAGAAATCCTCGTTGCCGTTTTGTTTGCTTGCAATGACGGTTCGAATAGCTTTGCTGAGTTCTGCCTGCGATCGCATGTCCTCTACTTTGTCTACCACCAAGTTCTCTAACTCTTCCAATGCAAACTTCTGTGCTCGCTCGTAACCTATAACCACATCACTGGTTTTTAAGCCCATCCTTAACAGATCCTCAGCCTTCTTTAAAAGCTCTCCGGCAAGAACAATAACTAAGTTTGTAGCATCTCCCATCTCTGCTTCTTGCTGCTGACTCGCCATAACAAGGAGCTTCGCAGCGGGGTGGACAACATCCAGTTCTCGAAGGATAGTGGCAGCGTCTGATGTGAGGATCATCTTTTGCAGATGGTTGATGACAATTTTGTTTCGTCCATAAGGTCCTAAGGAAGTCTGAACGGTTGAGGCAATAGTTCGACACGCATCAATGTTACGAATAACTGCTCCATCTTCGGAATCATAGCTTGAGAGGGGGATTAGCTGCTGCAGATTGGAAAGAATATAGAGAGCTTTTCGTACTTTTGGTAACCTTGTTTGAAAAGGTTAGAGTTTGGGGCATTTGGAATATTGAGAGACATCTTGGAATGTGTTCAGTAGAAAGGTCTCTTTCGTCGATGTAATCCTTCCCTTCCTGCTCAATGAAAAAAGTCGCGACTGTCTACCTTTTTTGGTGGAGGAAGCGTGAATTGTGCCTTATTTTTGAATAAGGCATATATTAATTATGCATGTCGGATAAACGTCATGCCATTTCCGTCCGAATAGCTTCATGGAACCAAAGAATGAAATGCGACCTGAAGTTTAATAAATTTACACAACCAACAAGAATGTTACAAAAACTTTGCGTTTGCAACATACAAAGTCATCTAAATAATCAACAGAATTTGCGCAAAAGTAAAGGTAAAATCAAATACAATCGTTCGGTGTCAATAATATATTGTACTAATCCATTCATAAGGCTTATAGCTATCTATTCAGGTCCCCAAAACCTAGTGGAACGAATTTAGTTGTCAACACCGACGTCCAAGGTTGCTCTCCACAACCAACATATCGTCTTTTTACAAGCTTTTATCAAAGCGACATTTGCAGTTGCTGCGATATCAATCTGAGAATTTAAGCATCATATCATTGTGAAACTCAGGATAGCACTTGATCCCTTTCAAGCATAACCCCAACTTCATCTGTTGGACGACCACGATACGATCACAATGGCGTCCAACGGGATATCAAAAAATCCGCCCACGCTTCCCCCGTCAGTTGAGGAATCATACAAACGGAAATGCATTCAACTCAAGACTCGAATGAACGAAGTCGAGGAAGCAAATGATGCTGCACGCCTCAGATTAGCTAGAATGCAGCGAGCGATAAATAAGATGCGACTCGAGCGAGCATTCTTATTGGAACAATTGGCAAAGCGTACGAGTACAAATGTGGAAGATTCGGAGGGTTCCCCAAGCCCACCTCCAACCGTAGGCCTTTTCTCTCCCTAGATTCACATCCCTCTTCCATAAGATTCGAGCAAATGTCTAACGCAAAACCTTGACAGCCGCAAGAAAAGCCATTGCGCACAAAACGCGGTCATCGCAAACCCTCTTTCCTTAATACTCTCGGCGATCCCTCCATCCCTCTACCAAACAGTCTAAATGCCAATCTCGCCATATCACCTTCCTCCTCCGCCTTCTCACATACACATCCTGATGTCCCTAACCAGGGACAAGGAACCTTCGCCAGTTTCAATGCCTCCCTTGTTCATCCACAGCCTATATCTCCCCGCCGCGCACTCTCCAATTCCACACCTCTGGGCGGTCGAACACCACACTCAGCCTCCAACTCGCCATCTATTCCTCCTTCTGGTCCGCCAAAAACACCCAAATCAGGCTTCGATTTTTATTGCCAGGAACTTCGTGGGCCCATGTTGGTACAACATAGACATGATATCAAGCAAGGAATCGTTGATATCGACTGGCTTTTAGCAAGCGGGTGGAGAGACACAAATGATGAGACTAGAGAACGATACGAAAACCTATTCAAAGCGATGCAGAATGCAAAGAAAGCCGAAAATGGAAGCCCATTAGACGATGATGTAGAAATGGGAGAAAGCGGACGTGAAGAGACTCCCAATGGTAATGGGGCTAATGGAGCAGGCGGCTTCACGGCTGTGAACAGAGACTAGATGTAATCTACGGAGTTGATTGGAAGTCAAGGAAGGGAAAGGGACTGGATTAATACTATATGCGGATGGGGATAATGGAGTGATGAAAATATTCAAAACTTGGCGTTTTGGGCGTGAGGATGAAGCAGGCAGCCTGCAATATTAGAGCTACTTTTTTCATTTTCCCCGAGATGGAGTTTTTCATGCATAGATCTCTCCTGCCTATGTATCCGGTAGTCCGATTCTATTTCAATGTAATATTAACAATTAACTTTATGGTTCTACTCTTTCTGATTAGGGAAATAATGTACCTACCCCCTTTACATTACCAGAAAATTTGTGAGTTGCAAATTGCTCAGTGGAAATCTCGCAGTGGAAGACGAGAAAACACTCATTTCATCTCATCTCATCACTTCACATTATGTGTACTGTAGACCCCGATTCTGAAAAATGAATACATTTAGCACAATGGGTTTGGCTTGTCATGATATGATTAAACTCCCGAGGCCATCTTCGATCATAAATCTAGTTGGTATGTTAATAGTTCAGTTAGTCTATTTGAGATGATCGAGTTTAATACCTAGGTAGGTAAGATGATAAAAGTTGTAAGAATAACTTCAAATTAGCTGTATCTTCCGCACTAATTCCCCTTATTTCTCGCTAGGTATTGTAATCCTATTTCAGAGCAAGCTCGCGGGGAGGTAATAGCTTGGAAGCCTTCACAGCAATATATCATATCATATCACATCACAACACAACACACCAGAAAGATTCAAATATATTAATTTATTCCATGCATTCTCCATTTCCCATTCCGTCCTCCATACATATACATATACATATAACTACACAAACCACTTCCCCAATCAACTTCACCCTTCCCCCTCACACAAAATTAAAACACTCTTCCTCCCCAAGAAATATCCAAATCCCCCCCATTATCTACTCAAGTCCAAGCCAAGCACAAAAGGAGATCGGCATCCGAATCTTAAGACTCCGTAACGCAGCGCAATCTTTCAAGTACTGTGGAAGGTAATATTATGTACAATTTTGTGTTTTCCGTCCAGCCAGATGAGATGAAAAAGAAAAGAACGCCTGTGATCCGTTGTCGTATGACCAGCTTTTAAGTGTCTAATGCAAGTATAATCTGGATATTATCCCACGGTGGTGTCACCGGAGTGTGAACTGGAGTGGTCGAAGCTCTTTTCTTTCCGTCGGATCTAGGTACGAATTCCTAGCCCCTTATTTCAGAGCTTTGAGCAGGGGTAACTATAGCCATAGCACTTCCCAATTTCTACCTCTAATGATTAGTTGAATCGATATCTATGAATTACTCGCCGACTGATAAATCGACGATAATATTAAGGACTGCAACTAGGATCTCCACAGCGATGAGAACGATAACCACCCATTCCAGCTTCTCTCCATGTCGATGACTAAGCTGGTCCTTGAGTACTGCCAGCAAATCTGCAATAACATCCAGTCTCTCATTCAAAAGCTTCACTCTCTGATCCATTTCCAGGTAACTTCTTACAGCTTGGTATATTGGTTCCAACTGCGGTTCTGCCCAAAATAACTCGGGCGTATCTAGAATTGAACCATTGAGGTGAATATTTATGCGTAGGATGAAGAGCTCGCCAATTTGCATGTTGATTTGTTTTCGTGGGAGAGCGATGGTTCCTGTCAGCGCGATCTGGGTCGGGATGTCTTTGTTTTGGTCGATGGTATTGTCTACAAGAGACTCGAAGAGTGAGGTCTAAATTGGATAGTTAGCATCTTATTCAGAATCAGATTCAAACAAGAAATACCTTAACACTCTGAGCCAAACCATGGGAAATTGCCAGCTTGGTCATATAATTCCCCTTTTCCCTCAATGTAATAAAATCGTTATAAATTCTAGCTTGGTACTCTTTGGTGTAATAGAAATTGAAGGACTCCATTTCCACATCATCGGCTGCGAATTTGCCGCTCTCAAACTTCGCAATTTCTTTCAGGAACTTTTGCTCGTGTGAACTAGACATACCCCATATTACTACAACGCCATAGCCGAATAAGAATACTTCGGGCGTGTGTATTCGAGTATCGAAATCAGGATTGCTTTCCGAAATAAGAGCTTGGGTCTCGTTCTCTATTTGTCGCTCAATGACTTCTGGGAGAAGGTGGTTAGCTGGAGAGTGGTCGCCATTGCTTATTGTGATATCGCCGCCATCAGTGTGCAGGTCTATTAGGTTTTCTCGTCGCTGTTTCTTGTTATCATCCACCTCAATAGCACTATCCGAGTGCCTCCGCTCCGTCATCTTCATCGGCGCACTATGTACCTCCATGTCTTGGTCTGAAGTCGCTTTTCCAAGGTCTTTGCCGTATCTAAATGGTGTATATATACATTCGTCGAAGGATTTTGGGTTCGCTCCAAACTTCGTCTTGCCTCGACCCTTCAGGAAACGCATCACATTGTCCAATTGGTATTTGTTGGCGGTGCAGAATGCGGTAACTCGAGGTAATCGATCACGATCTGCCTTTCCCAATCTTGCAGCATCTCTTCGCGCTGTTGGGTCTTTGATTCGTGTAAATTGTGAATAAACGTCTCGTCCGCTTTCTTCATCGGGTCCATCCGCGCCAACCTCCAGATCCGGCAGATACTTAAGCTTCTGTGTGACTTTACTGGCTCGTTGAGGGCCTATCTTTGATGCTGGGTGCATTGGCACCTGGGGAGAGCCATAACTGTTTCGGCGGCGCAGTTTGCTATTGAGAGAAGAGCTTATGTTGGTTGTCGGGGATGCGGTTATTGAGTGGAAGGAAACCTTGGGTTGCGTAGACTCATTTGAATCAATCGTCCTGACCGTCGGATTGTCATTGAAGGTAACATTCCTTGGTGCTTTCTTCGACGTATTTGTAGGACTGAGAGGTTGTCCTTCGAGGAGAGGCGTCTGCTCTGAGGTGTTGGCGCTGGTGAAAGCCATGGGTGAGGTGAAAGGCATTAAATTTATCTTTATTGACAAGAATATTGAAGAGAATGTCTTCAAAATAGAAAAAATTATATGTGCATAAGGATTGATGTATTATCTTTGTAAGTTAAAAATTATATTTCAAAAAATGACGTTTATTTTCCACGAGAGGATGCAACATTGGGCAGCCTTTCAGGAACAAATCGATAGGTCCGTGCGGAGCATCAATCACACAGGAGTTAACTAACTAGGTATTTCTAATAATCTCTATTTAGGAATAGCTGTTCTTGAATTTAATTTGAGCCAATCATTGAACTCAATCAAATTACAACTATATTTATTTAAGTGATAAGTTATTTAAAATTTCAAAAAATTAAATTATTTTATAAAAACTCTCTAATTATCTTATATTTTTATATAAGAATAAAAATACTTAAGTGTGGAAAGACTGGTCATAATTCAAGAACTTGTCAGAATAATATAATAGATTCTAGATCATTAGATTCTTGATAGTTTCAATCAATTGATTTAATTGTTGTTAAATAATATGGGTTTGAAATGATAAATTGAGGTAAAAGTGGCCCGCTTGGTGATATGGCCCGCTCGCTGATAAACCACGTTATCTCGCAAGATAATTAGTGGTTAGGCCTTGAAATCCAGCGGTGAGCTCTACTTACATTTGGCACCTCCAGCCTTGCATATGCACATCAGTTTCAGGCAGATCCTCATTCCACTCGTCGTTGACATAATACGCAGATCCCCTCCCCACAATCTCAACTTACAAATTTCTATGTGGAGGAGTGATCATTGAGGTATCGCTCTCGAGCTCCTTGAAATTGCTTCCAATATCTATAGCAGTTGTGCATGCTTGCACCAATGTACAGGATCTTATTCAATCATATCATTGAAAGTACACCTTTCAGCGACTTGTCTTTCGAATAGCTTCTGCTTGTCTCAGCCATTGAATCTCTAAGCTCTCCACAACATCGGTGGTCTTTTAGTTCCTTCAACGTTAGTGTCGGACAAGGAATCTTGCTGCAGCAGTGTGTCATCAATCATTCTGTTGGATAGAGCAGACTGCGTGGCTTACAAGACGGCCAGCTGATCTCGTGTTGTGGCTATAGTGTCGAACATCTACACTTGTTTGGCTGTTTAGGTTTCTGCCAAAGCTATCTCTAGAGATTAATGTAGTATATACTGGATTATACCGTAGATAGAGCCCCGAGTAACCAATACTGCGTGACAAAGATGAGAGTTATTTTATCGATTTATGATATAGGTCACATTATTGCTCTCTGACTCGGGCCAGCAACCTCAGCTTTTTCGCCGAAGATTCGGCTATTCATTTTCTTACTGTTTTTGTTGTTAAAAGGTTTTGATTTGGATACATATCTATCGCAGCGTATAGTGGTTATAAGGATTTACCCAAGAAAGGGAAAGAATCATTTGTACTCAACGTCCCTGTTGTTTTAGCAAGTTCACTTGAGATTAAAACTCCTTAAGATTAGCACAGAAGTTTCAATATTAGTATCATCGAAGGGCGACATGATTGTTATTGGAACTGGACGTTTTGCAATTTCTCTTCAACTTAGATACCCTGCGTCAAGTCATATCTGTCCCCCCAAATCAATACGAACCTCCCGCAAACCTCAAACCGTTGAAGGCAAACCACGATTAAGGTTTTACAACTCGAGCATGCTCTTTACATCCTTCACCTCCATCGCCGACGTTTCAATTTCCACGTTCGTCCGCTGACCCAAATCCCACCCATCGTATAGCTTTGGTAGACCTACTTCTTCCACCATATACTCTACTCGGTGCTCGTCATCCCATGGTAAAGTCACATCCCTCACGCGAGGCTATTAAGTTTTCTTAGGCTAGACCCGGATTCTTACGCAATCGCGTGTCTTACTTCTTAAGTTCTTCAGATCTAAAGGATAGGCCCTGAGCTACCATGCAATGAACTATGGACTTCTGAGCCAGTGAACCTCCAGGAAAATACTCATAAAACTCTTCAATTCCCGAGACACTTCTCTCATCTTTCTTAGGGATATATCGAATGTTATCCATGATATGATCCTGAAAGCAAAAGTTTCCAACTCGGGCCCTAACAGCCAGCACCGAGAAATGGTTGTGATTGGTATAAATTACTTAATTATATTTAAGTTTAAAGTCAGGACACAAGCAGACAATCATTTGTTGTTGAGATAGCGCTCCATTTTGAAGGTGGATAGTTGCATTGTTGGAGACGATATCCTCTGGGGCACGTTGCTTCCCAAAGAAATCGAAAATCGAGAGTGAGTAGTGAGGAGATGATCACGATGAATGACGAAGTGTTCGCCTTTCAGGCTTACACTTATGCCAACTATCCCTCTGCCGAAAAGAAGTGTCCAATGTAGCTTTGTAAGTAAGCTCGCGAAGGCAAAGGTGTTTAACTTACCTCCCGGTTAGGGCGATGTGGCTTCCTTCGTTTATGTTGATTCTTTGGCACTCATACTCTCCGTTGTGTAACAGGCCATGATAGTCGCAGCAGCTTCCTCTTTCACGGGCCATTGTTCAATAATTTCAATTTTGTATTGATTAACCGAAACTCATTGGGCGATCACATCATTTTTCCGTTTGATCTTCGCGCAATGACTGCTGCATGTTCTGTCACATTAATGTGCTACAGGCGGTTAGCTGCATTGCGGCCGCTTCTTACTATGCCAAGCAAAATTTTAACTGAAAGATGTAGCATTTTACTTCCAACTTGTGACACTACTGCTGAAGGCATGCATGGTGTGATAGAAAGAGTCGCTGCATGAGGAATTTGATAGGTAACGAAAGACGACTGCATAATATCCAGGAATTACTGGCCTTTAACTCATTCTAACTACGACCACCCAGAGCCTACCTTGGCAAACACAGAAATAAGTGTAAAGACGTTGACATACTCATCCATAAGCTCTATCAGCTCGCGTGAATAAATAGCAAATGATTGAGGACGATTGCTGTTTGGAGTAGGTTAGTGATGGATGGAGTACCAACGCTAGAGCAATTGGATATCCCCGTACATGAAAAAATGCCTAAAGGCATATACTAAGTAGTTTTGATAACTCTTGGAGTAATTTTTGTTACAGCGTAATGTGTAACAGTCGGTTCTGGTCCTAACTTAATTTGAGCTGGCTCTGCTTCGTTTCCCGAACTTGCGTCGACATCATCATCACATTAAAAAGTGCAACTTTACAATACGAGGCCAAGTATACCACTATCTTGAATCGGGCCATGTTTCCATCTCATAGGAATATCAAAGCCAACTTCAAGACTCACAGTGGGTTGTTTTGATGTTGAAATCTCGTTAGTGGTCATGGTGCATCATCCCATCGTTAACCGCCCCCACAGAAGAAAGTCACGACAATTTCACATCAATAGTGCTAGTTGGATGGTGATTGATCTGTGATAGTATCAAATTAGTCCAATGTGGACGATGCGTCTCAATACTTCTCCCAGGTAACTTAGGCATCATGTCCGGCTGTAAAAACCAAATCAGCATCGGCGTCGGAGTCTCATCCTTCACCTCACTTTCACCCTTTCACACCCGATGGGTAAATGACTGGTGGCTCACGGCCACGACCAATTTGCACACCCGGGAGACCACCTCCCAACCAATAATTCGAAGTGTATAATTCCACCTATATAGCTATAATTGTGAAGTGAGTGACGGAAATTCCGTCATATCCTAGTCATCAATCCAGTAAGACCTCTAAAATCTCTCGAAAGTTTCCAAATGACGAACTTTTCGGTACGTGTTCGGTCCCAATAAGCATAATATCATTAATCAAGTAGACTGACCGCTAAAAGAGAAGTCTATACTTGTATTCCGGCGATGGAATGGATGGACAGCTCATCACGCTGGTTATTTACAGCTGGAGACACTAGTAAAGGAATTAGGGTATTCAAATCGTCCGGGCTGCAGGGCGGCAATGGGAAGTTCTGGATCCCTGAAATCACTTGAAAGGTTGAAATACTTTGAAGCATTAAATAGAAATTTTTTTACTACTCCTATGATGCTAAATGCAACCGTCAATACAAAAGAATGGATGTGAATGATTGTATAGAGAGTCGTTGAATGAAAGTATCAACGGTATTGTGCCACAAAAACTAAATACAAAAGGCAAGCGAAGATAATCTTCTATTAGAGAAAGTACAGGCGTATCCCGCTGCAACATGCAGCTTCTTAACTAAAGACAGTGTCACATTCTTTTGGCTGTGCCGCCTGCTGCCGGTGGGTGGGATGACTTCCATATTTGTCATGACGAGACCAATCAGTTAACTATTCGAGCCGTTTTCATCAACATAGATAGCTTCTCGTGCTCTTCTCGCAGCGGGAATCAATCAATCGTCGATATGTTGGAACTAGGGAGTAGTATCCATTACCCCATACGCCCATATCAACCCCTCGAAAGCACGTCTCAGAAACAAAATATTATGATTTGATACGTAGTGGCTTTTTATTGAGGTTCTCGAAGTTCTTAATTATTGAGGGGTTTAACCGAAATGTAGTTCTTCACCGATCATTGTCCAGATCCACAAAACTTTGCGGCACGATTCTTGACGGCCCTCTTCAGCCTGTCCATATCTAATGCACAGAGTTTTGGAGCTTCAGATGCTTAACTAATAACTTTTAATTGGTGTAAGTACCACGAATAACGTTGGTGGAAGACGCAGTCTAGATAGCTCAGATATGTCAGAGCCGATAAAAGTGATATTAAGCGGTAGCCGGACGGACATACGACTGTAGTAAGATGGCATGACTTTGACGTAACCACGAAGCTTTCGATGCCAATAATAAAACTCGAAAGAGAATTACTTGCGCTTGCCATTGACTGCTCAGCTGTTCAGTAATTTATGTCCACAGAGTTTGTGCCATGGTCATGGAAAGTGGAAGCAAGTTAGACCCCGGTACTTTGAGCTCCGTTTGTAATCCTGTCAACTCAACGCTCACACTCCAGCTCAGGGAAATGGACAAACATGTCCTTGCCAGGTGACGTTAGCTTCCTTTTTCGTAACAGAACGGGATCTCAAATTTGTTCCCATTCCGTGCTATGACATGACATGACATCTCACACGATTTTTCGTCCTTGCTGTAATGTCATAGCTCAGGGATCCTATTCCTGTCAGATATTCTCGGAACTTGAAGAATTCGAACTTCCCATAACAATGTTAATATTATTTGGAGCGGAAGGATCCGCCCTGTAGTTTCATCATTTCGTTTACTATTACGCACTTCCCTTTTTCGAAGTTCAATTGATGTTTCGGTAACGTTGATGAGGGCACTAGCTGAGGCTCACGTAAAGCTAATTAAATCTCTCTGCTTAAAAATGTAAAGGTGTCATCACGAGGATTTGTGTCACCTTAGTCAGGCGAAGTAGGCTAAATTTAGACTACCACAAAGTAACCTTTCGGAGATCACCATGCCCCACAGATCCTATGCATATCATCGGTATTAGTGGAATTAGTTTCAGTACCCGCATACACTAAGACTCAAGTGAGAATGTTCAGGCGAGAGAGATCATAACAAATGGCTTAGAATTATCTGATTTAAAGAGTTTGTATAGTTAGATTCGGTTAGAAAATTATCATACCTGTGGACTTAGTAATGAGCTATCAGCAGAAGCGTTAGAAAATTTCTGAAGGCATTATTTTAGAAGCTTAGGAGATATTGACTTACCACACCACCAGTACATATCAATACTAGTAATAAAGTCTTATCAACACTATGAGCACTGATGAACACAAATTGAATGGTAGCCGAATATGTCCCGGGCGTACTAGAAAGATAGATGAATAAGAGATTCTAAATCTTGCACCAGTATGACTCTGGCCCACCAGAGGATCGAGATGTAGGAAGAATAGTGTTCAGTAGACATAATGTTGTAAACTTTCATGGTCTTGTTTCGAAAATCTTACAATCCTCCCAGTGTTACAACGAGCAGAGAAGAAAAAACAATCCTTCGCTGGAAGAAGTCTGATTCCTAAGCCATCGTTAATTACGAGAAAGCAATAACTTTGACATCCGAAATAGAAGTAATTCACGATAAAAAAGTGTATATAAACCACTAGTCACCCTTCGAATACACACCATCTCCATCATCACAACATCAGCAGCTTCCAAGTACATAACTCTTAAAAAAACTCACAGTACACGGCTCCTCTTCCGTGCATTCATATTCATACTCTCCTTCAAATTCATACTTTCAAAAACAAACCCACACTCTCAGCCAAAATGAAGTTCACAATCACTTCTGTCGCCGCCCTCGCCATGGCATTCGCTCCCCTCATCTCTGCAGCTCCCGCTCCAGTATCTCCAAACGAGCCAGAGCTCGTCCGCCGTTCAAACTCAGGTGACTTGACCTACTACGATGTAGGTCTCGGTGCCTGTGGCTGGACCAACTCCGATTCCGAATTAGTCGTTGCCATGTCAGCAGGGCTCATGGGAACTCAATCCAACGGCAACCCCAACTGCGGAAAGAGAATCAAAATCAACTATAAGGGAAAATCCGTCACCGTGAAAGTCGTCGATAAATGCATGGGCTGTGCTTATTACGACTTGGATTTGAGCCCTGCCGCATTCAAGGCTTTGGCTCCTGAGTCTGCTGGTCGCGTCAAGGGCACCTGGTATTTTGTATAGATTCGCATACCTTGAAACGGCAGAGTTGTGTCAAGAGAGTGATCCAACGTGGAAAATATCCCTGTTGATACATGCTTAGTGGTGTCTGTACTTGAAGGAGCGAAAGATTGTGCTTTGGGTGGATTTCTTTGGCATCTCATATCTTTATTATTTTATTTTCTTTTCATATTTGAGAGAATTTTTGGATCGGAGGCTAGAAGCTAGGCACGAAGAAAGGTTATCTGTTGTTGTATTCGTAAAAAAAGTAAAAAAGACTTTCGTCTAGTTCGATTGAATTTGCGCCGCCGCATGAACTTAAGGGCTTTACTTATTCCATTGCTTTTGTGATTGTGATGATTTCTGTTGTATTATGTGACTGTGCCAGGCTCATTGATGCATGAGAAACTTGATAAGGTAACTTGAACGGCCAGCATTGTATACCACCTGGAAAATCATTACCAACATTGGTCCAAACGACAAGGAGGTGCTGATATAGCTTTGTTAATATAGGAACAGGATGTGGTATATATAGGTATTTGAAGATTGGAATGTTTGGGCTGACGTTTTGAATTTCGGCTATTAAGCTAATGAAGGGGTTTGATTGGGAACCACTGTTTCGGGACCGGAAAAGCTAGATACACTATCCGGGGTTGGACAGAATGCGAAGTGAAGATACTTCAAGGCTTATTGGGACAACTACAGCATGACCCGGCTATAAGGATGCTTTAGAAGTATCTTTCTGGCGAAGTATCAGTTCGACCGTTGGTCAGACTATTAGATACTTCTTTCGCCAATGATAATTGCATCTAATCGAATATCCGGTAAAATGCGGACAAACTCCCAACTTTTCCACCTTACATTTTTTCAATGTATGAGTAGTTTGATCAAAGCAAAAGATTTTAGAATCGACTGTGCTAAAGATAATCCTTATAGTGAAAAATAGTACCCAGCGTTTATACGAATACTTCTTTGCGTTATCCACATATTCGGATCCTGATTGCGGGGTTTCGTTCCACAGGTACACTTGAGAAGGGCTTTCCCCACCGATTTATTACCTATCCCTCATGAAAATATGACAAAGCAAGCATAGAATATGATCTCATAAGTGATACCTATGGGAAGGGTTTATGATGCGACATAATATCACACGATTTGTTGAATTGTACATATTAGAAAACAAGGATTCCATATCGCGATAATTTTTGGGTCACCCTGGGCAACTAGCCATAAGCTAGATCGGCCAAAATTCGGCCTACTTGAGAAATTTTGATACGTTCTTGAACAGATGAACAGATAGCCTTAAAAGCTCTTTCACCGATCTACTCAATAACTGCCCCTTTGCGGAACGCCAATGTATTACTGATTTGCACTATTGCTGCAGCTCTCTGATCAAGATCTCTATGGATCTTCTTTCTCGCAGGCTGTCACATCGAAGTTTGGCTGTCATGACTTATACCGAGTTGGTTTTAAGATGGAATGGTAGCGGTGCTGCAGAACTTCTTTAAGGCCTGCCAACTTGTCCGGCCTCACTCGCGGCAACCAAACTCCTTAGTCCACCGTTGACTTTTCACCGGCCTTTACTCACTATACTGGTTCCTTTCTCTATGAATTGTATGGCTACAACCGCAATTAGCCACAATCAAATATCTGTGGGGTTCTACGAACACTTGACCTTGTCGCAAAAAGTTGGCCATGCTTATCCGCCCGTTCATTACTCCGATTTGAAGGTTCTAGTGGTCATCATCCATTCACTGCATAATTTTCCCAGATAAATTGATTTACGAGACACTCCACCATAAACGAATCCTAATTGCGGACTCAACAAGGTTTTCTTCTCAGAACTACAGTGCTGTATCCGGAATCTCTGACGACTACAAGTTTGGACCCTTGTAGTGAGTATCTTGCATGACACCCTTTTCAACTATCTCGACGAAACCGGCCACCTAATTCGGCGACTATTGTCTTTGGAATTCGGTGGTAAGCATTGTTCACTCCCTGTGATACTTTAGCAAACTTACGCTATTGGTTCAGACTCGAGTCGATGGGTTTCATAAGATCATTTTGCGGCTGGGTACCTCGTCGGCCACACCCAAACAAGTCCGTATGGACTTTCACATGGCGGAGTGAATAAGAGAACCGGGTGTTGTTTCGGCAATCTTGCTTTTCTGTAGATACTGACTTAATACTCTGGGGCGAAGCAATGTAGTTACAAATTCGAGGGACAAGGGTTTGCAACGGATGGGTAACGGTTAGCTTACTCATACGTGTTTCTTCAGAAAAATGAACAAAACTAATTGCTTTAATATCATCGCTAAACATGGAGGGAATTCGGACCCGTCCGTACTCTGGGGTTGTACCGGTAGCAACGGGAATCTATCCACATGCAGCCTTTGGATTAACGTTTTGATACAAAAGGGCATCAGTTTACGACATGGGTCAAAGCACAAGGCTTGAAATGGGAATACATCTGGAAGCGGTGAGTATCATTGATGCATATAAATTTACCTTGTTTGCCTTCTCGCAGCCTTTACCTAGGAAATTTCCTGCCCGTTTGCGCTGAAATTTGGCGGATATCTAAGTTATAGATACCATTAAAGATTAGCATAGTGGTATTGAATTGCAACAGGGATTTAACTGTGCGGAATTCCAAGGAATGTAGCAGGGCTTACGCCTAGGATTGAAGGCTTTTTGCTGTACCTAATGGTTACAACACGGAAAGAACCCCGATTCTGCCGGGAGAACATGTTTTGCCATCATGAGAACTATTGGTTTTCCTTCTTCGATTGCCGAGCATAACTACTGCAGACGTTTGTATTCTTCCTGCCAACGACATTACCAAGAAAATGTGATCCGGGTCGCTACAGGAGGTCGAAGCCTTTTGCAATGCTTGAGCCTTTCAAAGTCCGGTAACACGAGTATGGTTTCTTAGTTACGTGACGTGGCAAGCCGAGGTTTCATTAATTCTCAAGTCGAATATTCTCTTTATTGGTTTCAGCATTGCACGACATCCAACTATAGACATTGGATGATATGAGGCGAACAGCCTGGTAAGTAGCTATATTCGGCGAGAGGCATCAGCAGCTAGTCGATGTTCAGTTATTAACTTGAAGACGGGCCGCCGTAACATACATATTTCTGGGCATGTCCCCCTCCACCATACTTTCTTCAGCTAAAGCCTTGGTACACCACAATTAGACTATGTCCCATAGAAGCTCGCAGAGCCAACCTGGTGGTCCATTTCCTTGCGGATATTTTGGTTGCAACAAGACCTTCACACGTCGCACTGGTGCTCGTCGCCATGAAACGACCGTTCACGGGGATAAAAAGTACTGTTGTAATGAGCCAGATTGCAATTACCGCGGTGGAAAAAGACGAAATGATTTCGAGAAACATATGAAAAAGAAACATCCCGGACATGATAGTATGTACTACGTAATTGACGAGTTCTAATTGGCATATCAGCTTACGACGCTTGCGAAGATCACTTGTTCGTCCCAGATAATCTCAGCAATCCGCGAGGAAGTCAATTTCATGTTGCACATTACTCTCAAAGCCCTGAGATCAACTATTTCTCTCAAGGTAGGCCACTTCTCAGTTAAATCCGAACCTTTGATGACAACTCTAATCAATCATGGCAAGTTTCTGGAAATTTTTCTCCAACTCCGCCACTACCGAGTATCAATTCCAATTCAAGATTCAATCCTATCGATACAAACAAGAAGCCCGTAGCCGCCACGATGGCCCCAATGGGCTCGGCCAGCTTTCCGCAGTTTCATGGCAGTACTTTTGATCCGAATATAACTCCTCTACGGCCTCCTGATACGCGCGTCTTTCAGGTCATCGATCTACCGCGCCCTGAATTTGAACCACTACCAGGAGCAGCTTCAGAGATTGGGAATACTTGGAGCCAATTTAATGCTTCAACCATTTGTCATTCAGAGTCGACATTCCAAAACATCAACGATGCGGGCATCATGAATGACTATGAGACTTACAATGGTGACTATGATACAAGTCGATACGCCCAATCGGAATACAACCGTTATTACAGATGATGAATGTTCATATGTTTACTTTTGTTATAAAGATTTAGAAAGCTACAAAGAAAGACGTGGTGTTAGATATGGGTGTATAATGGGGCGTTTAGTCAATCCAGGGTGGGGTTCAGGCTTGTTATTAAAACGGGTCAGGCCCGACGGGAGTTACTATCAATGTTCCTCTCAAATCATATTCTTGACCATATATTCATGCTGGACCTCTTTCCCACAAAGCATGCTGGGTTAGCTGTGATATTTACGTCTACACGAGACAACAACTGCCAAAATATCGGTGAGATTTCTTCGGTGCACAAAAAGCGCTATGACACTCAGATCATGCACAGCGATTTACTTTGATGTGAATCAAGTGTTTCTACTGCATCCCTATCGTCCAAATCTAATTACCCCGCAACTACTACTCTCAGTGCTGCCATGTGATAGGACCGGACCCGCACCACACAGCATAGAAATAAAACATCAGCACAGGCTACAATGTCGCCTTGAAGTGCCATATTTCGTACAATGGTCTGATGAATTTTCGTTTACAGAAATCCCACGAAGGTAAGTAAGTCAGATGCATACAAATTACTGGAAACATGTGGATGCTAATTTGAAGGTGCAAGACAAATAATTTCTTAGTTCCAATTGACGAAGCATGCACACATCATGACATGCGACGTGATAGATCCAAGAAAATTCAAGGTTCTATCAAATATAATGTTGCATATTTCCATCGTAAACTGTGAAAATTAAAGCAAATCTTCACCTGAACCAATCCAGGCTCTTCCTCACCGACAGTTATTTGTTATGCAGGGGTAATCAAGCTTACGATTGCGCATGGGTCTAGTGAGTATACGATCGATTGTAGATCTCTGGAAAGATACGGAATATTTAAACTCACCGCTATTACTCCCTAGAATTTTCATAAAATCCTTGCTTCATCCTCTATTCACCGGTCCCAGAGACTTTCGCATTCGGTTCACCTCTGATTTTCGGTTTGCCTGATTACCGGACTCGGGACGCCCCCCGTCATTTTTCGGCCCTCTAAAATATGGTATTCTCCACAGTATCAATACGTGGCTGAAACCTACCTAAATATCTAAGCCCAGTGGGTCGCACCGATATCGAATCGGAAGCTCCAAAATTCGAACGTTTACACGCCGTTAGATTATCAGATCTATGACTATCAAAACTGTCGAAGCTGTCAAACCTGCAGAATCTGAAAACCACAACGTATATCAGCAGCTATTATTGGAAAATACGACGCGACGAAACAGACAAGAAGTAGAATGACTTCATCTCAGTAATGCATAAACAAGCATCAAGACGCTCGAGCCTCTCCCCCTTTCAGATTCTCGCTTAATAACCCCCATATGGATTTGGAGCTGTGCCAAGCTGCAAAAGCCTCCTCATGCATGCCAGTTAATTGGATATGGTAAGACGAATCCAAGCTTTTCTTAAATAGTAGAAGTCAAGAACCATTCACGAGCAGTAGAAAATCAACAGAATCTCATAGCATAAGCAATACAACATCTAAACCTCCAAACCCCTAGACATCAAAGGATCAGACAAGCGAGTGCTTCGGGTTTGGCCAATACACAATAACAGCCTAATCTACATCCTTTTTATATCCAAGCACCGGAAGGCTTAGTCAAGCTGCCTAGTACGTCCGTGCTGTACAATGATACCAAAGATCGTCGATGAGCACAATGTCACGTGACACTCCACTTCTAGACCTCCAGGTTTTCCAACAACAATAGAGTTAAGAAGGAAATGTTTAACTTTTTAGGATAAGGGGCATTGGTGTATAGCGTGGTCCACCCCTCCTTCTTATGAGTCAGCCCTACCAACATTAACAGTATTGTCATGCCACCAGCAGTGGCATCACCACATATCAAGCTTTTTTTTTTTTGCGCTGTTTTTTAACGAAATCCACATCATTGTTATATTTTTATTGATTAGTATTTGATTCTAGATGTCACGGATGCATGAATATATGCAAGACTTTCCACAAGTAGTTAGTTATAATAGTTTATTCTCGAACTTCATCATCCGCGCATCTAGGGTCTCTGCAATCAGTGGACTAGACCTTAAATATTCAAAGCATTGCGATTAATAATTCATGAGGCTACATTCAAATTCTCATTGTAATTTGTGATATTTCCAAGTGCGCAAGTCCATCTTTAGCCAATGGAGCTTATGGAATTTCAACAGACAGGTAAGGTATTTTTTAATCTCCTCGAGGTAAATAATCACCTCCGAAAAGCACAGAATTCACAGACAAGTAGTCAACAAGGAGAAGATCCTTCAAAATCACTCAAAAATCAGTAGCCAAATTGCTCTATTGGTATCCAATTACTGGGCGTTTTAGTAGATATTAGAGCCTCTTAAATAAGAATGTTTACCCTTAGTCAAGTCTCTTCGGGACACCTGATATTGAGTTCCATATTATGAGTTGAGGGATTTTCCCAAGCATTTTCATCTGTGCCAAGTGGGCGAGACAGAGCTTTACCCCTCGTGAAGTTAAAGCACTCTTTGAACTAGCTACAGCAGTCTCAAACCTAGGGGTTGACACGAAATGAGCGCAGAAACGAACCAAACATCAAAGCATTGAGATGAAGTGTATAATGAGCTTAATGACAGTTTTCATGCATAAACAGTAAGAGTAATGACACCTTCAAATCTAGTTCTTTAAGATTGTAAATATCTAGTCATACCATAATCTTTGATGAAGTCTAGTACAATAAAGGAAGAGAGGGGTGAAACGAAATTATTGGCCTCGAATGGGATGAAGTCCATACTCTTGTACGGAGTAGCAAACGGAAATATCCCAGATGGATGGAATATCCACAAATTTTGGAATGTGTGAAACCAATCAAATGTTCAATCGCAAAATGACTTTGATCCCCAACTTAACCTAACTATCCAACCACTCCAATCTCCCCAACACTTCTAGTCTAGTCCCATCACCCCCAAAATACACACCCATCTACAATCAGCACTCATATGATACCTCTCATACTCCCTCCCCTGTCTCTCTTTTCCCTCCTCTCTTCTCGTTCCCCTTTCGCTCCACTTTCCTTCACAAATCCACAAATTCACACATCCATCTCAGCTGAAAGATTATGCAGCGCCAGTTCAGGCGTTCCTGCAGGTGTCGAAAGCCGAATCTCTCTAGGCGCCCATCCCATCTCCCACCCATGCTATCTTCCCCTTCCTCCTTCTCCTTCTTCTCACCTCAAACCAAACCAATCCAATCCAATCCCATCCAAAACCCAAAACTCTATCCAAACCGCCCCTCCTCTTCTTTTACCCAATCTACCATGTCCATTATATCCACTCAAGGTAACCAGTTCAGCCAGCCCAAAACACCCCAACCATAAAAGTCTTTTCAATTTTATTTACTATCCATTGCATACCTCTCACAGTCAGTACTCCACATATTACCTCCTCTTTCCTCTCACAGATGCACCCAACCCTTCTAGTACACTCAATGCACATAATGTACTCAATGCATCTCATCCTCTCAACCAACTCGATGTATTCAATACACTCAACTCATTCAATGTACTCAATGCATCTAATCCTCTCATTGGATTCAACACACTCAATCCATTCAATGTACTCAATGCACCAAATATACCCAAACCCCCCCTCAAATGCATCCACTACATCAACTACACCCATTACATCCACCGCACCCGCTGCACCCACTGCATCCACTGTGCCCACTGCGCCCATTGCGCCCACTGGACTCAACGCATTTAACGTAATCTTACTTAATGCACCGCACCCAGTATACCTAATCCGAGCCCCCACTACATAGCCCCTTGTCTTCCTAATTTCCCGAATTCATCGATGATCTCGATCCCATACAGCAAATACAACCAATACACACAACCTATCCATCCAATGCCACCCGTCCAGCACAAATCTCCACTACATAACCCCTTCTCCCACTAAATCCACACATCTACCTTTCCCCTCTTCTGATTCCCTTGTTACTTGTCCTCCTAGTTTCCGAATTCATCGAGATCTCGATCCCATACAGCAAATACCCTCAATACCCTCAACCCATCCAATGCATCCAATCGATCATCTGCAACCCATCGAACCCATCCATCCAATGCAACTTATCCAATTGGTCCAATCCAAACCCAACTACATAGCCCCTTCTCTTCTCTTCTCATACCCTTCTTCCTTGTCTTCCTAATTTCCCGAATTCATCGAGATCTCGATCCCATACAGCAAATCCACTCAATACCCTCAACCCATCCAATGTATCCAAACGATCGCCTGTAACCCATCGAACCCATCCAATCCATCTATCCATCTATCCACTCTTCTCCTTCCCTTCTCCTTCTCTTCCCTTCTCCTGTCTATCTATCCCTTCTATCTTTCTCTTTATCCAAATCCATCAAACCCATCTATTTAATCCATCCATCCAAATACAACCTATTTAATTCATATATTTACTCTTCTTCTTCTTCCCATTCTTCTTCTTTCTCTTTCCTCTTCTCTTTTTCCCTTTTATTACTCCCTCAATCCAACTAATTCACCAAACCCATCTACCCAATCTATCATCCAATATAACCTATTCAATCCATATATCCACTCTTCCCCTTCTTCTTCCCCTCCTTCTTTTTCCCTTTCCTTCTTCTCTCCATCTCTTTTATCACTCCCTCAATCTATCTAACTAATAAAATCTACTCTAAAACTTAACACCATACATACATACACACACACACACACACACAAACCCTTTCCTTTCCTTTCCTTTCCTTTCCTTTCCTTTCCTTTCATCTGCCTTTCCTTTCCTTCCTTCCTTCCT